TCATCATCATCATCATCATCATCATCATCATCATCATCATCATCATCATCATCATCCCACTGGTGTTTAGGGTAACCCGCCGCGGAACCCTGTGCGCAACCGAGCTCAAGTCGTTATCCCGTTGATAATCCTTGAAGGTTGCTTTCAGGTTGCTAGATCGAAACATGCTGAACAACCTTCCTAAGAAATCCAAGCAAGTGACAATCTTGCCATGTTCAAAACAACGCCCAAACCAAAACAAACTGTGCACCATCATGCAGAGTGCCCATCTTGCAATGGATGTTGTTTAAGTTGAAAATCCATGAAAATCATTGAAAATCCTTGCTCGGATCTCAGCGGCCTCCTGCGTTCGCCCAAAGCGATCGTACCTGGGCGGGGGATCGACTTAGAATGCCCCGAGTTGGCCTGTGGCACACGTTCTTCTCGTACTCGGATCTATTTCCAACAAGCTGTGCCAATCTGCCTCTGTTGAAGACACCTTCCGACCGAATTTGCATGTTGGGTCTTCTCATGGCACTTCATGACTTCAACTGCAAAGAATTTGCATTGTTCCTATAGACATGCAGAACCCTTTACAACGGTCTCTGTCTTCAACAAAATACAGTATATAGTTGCTTCTCCTTCCTGACCCCAACAACTTGTCTCTGAGGGCTCTGGCAGGGAGCCAAACTTGTTGTGAAACTCAATCACCAGAGCTCTTCCTCAGTCTTTGCGTCTTGGCAGAGCTTCCACATGGACCCTCTACGCTTGATTAAATCCACATGAAGAGATCCCCACCCCACTGATACCATGTCGACCGACATAGTGCGAGCGAAAGAAATCCGTCGTTTGTATGAGGAAATGGCAAGCGGAGCATCCTTCATGATTCATCATTTGTAAAATCTGGGTCAAAGACCTTAGAGCAACCCTGATGTACACTGTACAAAGTCACTAAAGTGCACAGAGTTTCCACAGGCATGGAAGGTCGGGTATGCTCCTTTTGTATAGTCAGTTTGCTTTGATCAAGTCGGGAATGGAGTCGAGCCTTCAAAGAGCCTTTTTATAGCCTGCACGCATGGTCCAACCTCTCCCATTTCTCCTCCCAAATCACCAGAATGCTGCAGGAACTCCTTTTTGTTGACAAGTCTCTGGTCTTCGTGTCTGAATTTTCAAAGGCGCCCTTCCAAGACTTCGCGAAGGCCAAAGCATGAAGTGACCACTCTGGCCACGCGTCAGCTGACCAGGTCGCCACGTGCGTCAGTGCTTTCATTCCTGCATCAGCCCAAGGCATGGCCGAAGGAGGCCCCTTTGGGCCAAAGACGTGCATCAAACGACCAACTCCCCAACCAGCCAACAAACCAAACGACAAGCATCCATTCACAAAGACAAAGCTGCACCTTGGGACATGAGTCACATGAGCTTCTCCCGTCCTTCATCCAAGCGTAGCGTCACCTTTGCCATGGACTCCTCTAGCCGCGGGTGAGGCTGTCCGATCTTCTCGCTGGCAGGAGTCACCAAGCAGGACCTCACACCCAGTCGCCGCGTCACCGATGGTGGTGAAATCTCAGTCCAAGGGTATTTTTTTGCGTCGGTCGAACAATGCCTCGCGATTCCGGATGAGATGATATCCGATGCATGTTCATTCATGTTTGAAGGAGATTCACTTCGCGAGGGTAGGCCTTTTCGCAAACACTGTCCTTTGTTCCTTGTAGATCTGGCCCACACAAATTGCAACACCCCAAACCCATACTTCTATGAGCCTATGACCTCTCATTTCGGATCCAAAGATATCATTCCTCGACAGCATGATTTGGATGGCCACCAACAACCCCCAGTCCCAGTCCATGCTTCTCTATGCGGCCTCAGGTGCCAGTTTTGGACCGGACCGCGAGGATGTACCACGACGCGCGCGCGCGCCGTGCCACCACGTACCGCGCCTCAAGGTCTCGCGCGTGCGCCGTGCCACCACGTAGTGGTCGCCTGAGCGTCGCCGGCGCGCGGCGAAGATGCGTCGGGTGCTGGAGGAGTCGCCCCGTGTTTTTTCTTGTTCCTGGTAGCTTCTTGTTACTAGTAGTAAGGCACTTGTTACTAGTAGCGATGCACTTGTTTCTACTAGCTTCTTGTTCCTAGTAGTTTCTTGTTACTAGTAGCAGTTGCGATGCCCTTTGTTACTAGTAGCTTAATTGTGCGTGCCTACAGAGCACAGGGCTTGAGGAAGGTGCAGCTGTTGACTCCACCCAAATGAGGTGATTTTCAGCATGCCGCGTGCTCTCCTCGACGAAATGGACCTCTCTGGAGCTAGCTGTCTCCGAACACTCGATCTTTAGATACACTGGCATGCCATTGCCTTCATTCTGCTACTCTTCGTGGACACCTCTCATGAACTACCCAAACAGGGTGACCGTCAGTGCTTTTTCAGCTTTGCAGGGGAGGCGAACGCCTGACCTGTCACCAGTCACTGGCAAATCAACGAGTACGTACAGTAGAGGGACCCTCAAAACATGGAATCTCTGTCTTTCAGAACGTTCACACGTAGATTAGATTGATCGTTCTGTTGAATGACAAAAATATACAAAAATTGATTAAATATCGTTATATATTCTAGTTGGTGATAGTTGATGTATCCAACTAGAAATGGAGACGGACAAACAGACACATTTGGCTGTGGGTCAAAACCAGGGTAATTACCAAGGTTGGCCCACCTGGAAGGTCAAGCTACATTGTGTTTTGGGCTCGAGGTTTTGACCCATTCCTATTTGG